GCGGCGCGCCATCAATATTTATACGCGGCGGAAATAGCACGCCGTCGTTCGGTGGGGCGCGCGGGATGAGTGATAGGACCAGCGGCCATCCTTCGACGGGCCGGCGGACCGGGACCCGACGGAGACGGAACGGCTGAGGACAGCCCCCGCCCCCGCCCCCGCCCGCTGTTCAGCCTTGCTCCCGCCCCTTGGAGACAGCGGGACGGTAATGGGGAACGACAGGGCGCCAGTTGTGGTGTGGCAAGCTGGAGCTGCTCGACGTGTTTGGTTTTCTGCAAACATCCGGGTCCTGGTCCAACAATGAAGCACTGATTGCCCTCAAACATTAGCCACCCGTGCAACAGGCTTTACGTCTACATTTGATAGCTCTGAGTTCACCTAACTGCCGAATTGGCCCTGAGCTCCTCAAATCTCTCCTCGCTCGCGGAGGGTGGTTGCCGTCCGTCGTGGTTCCCACAGAGACAGGTGTCCGCTGTCGCACCTGCCTCCTCGAGGCGCTCGATTGGTATAGGACAGCGAGTCGAGCACTCACGACTGAACTTGACAGAGACCACAGCTGCGCCACTGATCGCCACACCTGCGCCATCGCCGCGCCGGTGCGCTTTTCTTATTGCCCCGGCTTGAATAATGGCACACGATGCCGTCAACTCGGCCTCACGACTCACGAGTCGGGGACTGAATGCCGCTGCCTGCCCGCGGTTCGAGTGCGGTATGATACCGCTTTACCCGTGGGATGCCGTCCGCTGTTTCACCATATCGGTGAAGTTTATTACGTACCTACCCGAACGGTACGACATTTGTCAGGCTGCCAGTTCGCCCGGCTGTGGATGTTTTATGATGGAAACGCTTCTCGGCCAGGATGGAGATGCATGGTGCGTGTCGGTAGGCTGAGTCGAGAAGCCGGTGCGTGACGGTTGGAGCGGTAAATACGTCTGCACGGCCTGGCCTTCCCGTCAAGGTTGGAGGGCTTACTGAGACTACCGTGTCGGGGTGATAAGTCGCTAATTTTACCGTGTTTGGCTGGGTAGAATTGTAATACCTCACGCATCGGTGTTTGGATTTCGTTAGCTTTGTTCGTTTTGGACCGAGCGATGCCACCGTTTTCTGCTACCTCCCCCGGCAGCGCTCGGGCCGTCCGACGTCGTGCTTGGTCCGAAGTCGTATCAGTGCAGCCGAGCCAATATGCGTGCCCTCTGACGTCACACTCGGTCCAGAAGGCGGACGGTGCGTCACTGTTGTGGTCGCCAATCCGCCTCTGACCGCTCTATGCCGCCGTGGGCTCGCGATTGGCCGCCTAATCCCCACTCTGCGGTCTCGGAGACACAAAGCGCCCTGTGGTCCGTGACGTGCGGCTTCTACCTGGCTTCGGTGGGCAGCCGTCCCACCGCGCCGATCTGAGTCAGACCCAGTGACGTCACGGTACTGTTCGGCCCACCGTGACGTCACTGATGTGAACACTGTCGTCATTGGTGTAATGATCTATCGTCACAACTCGTAAGCTGCCTAGTACTCGACCTGCGACGCAAAGGTAGCTGGCTCATGCGTCATGCTCTGATTTCTTCGCCCCGATTTTATGCTTCGTGAACTTTGCACCGTGCTCTGTTGGCCGTGCATTGTCAAGGCTAAATGTGTCAGTACTGCCGGTTTATTCCGGCTGTTGTGCTGCTGTCTGCGCTCTGCCGACCTGGCCTAGCCTCTCAGACGGAGCGTTATCGTGATCTGTGTCACGATAACCTCTCCTCGTCTCGTGTGTCGCTCTGTCGTGACCTCCTGATGAGGGCGATACATGGCGTGACCCTGGCACCAGAGCCCTCGACCGCCATTGCTGGACGCTGGTGCGTGTCGTCATCTGACCTCTCCCCGCCCCCTCCCCTCAGGGAGAGGGGTGTGGCTATAACTAACCTAGCTCTAGTGAGTGCAACGTTAGGTCGTGCACGGCTCTGCCCTAACCCAATGATGCTTGGTCTGGACCTTCACGAGTTCAGGCGGCGTGGAGCTAATCTTCTCCCCCCCCCCTCTCGTGACCCTCCCTGTCCGCGTGGGTGCCGCCCATGTCCATCCTGTTTATGCTAATTGGTGTGTAATTTTGTTGGTCGAGTGCACCGACCGCGGGTGCGGGCTGTTCGGGCTGGGGGCGAGTGGACTATAGACCGTCGGACATGGGCGCTGGGTGTGGGGTGTGGATTGCTGTGGATTGCTGTGTTCATGGGACACGAGTCTGCAGGTGTTTGGTGTTCGAGTACGGTGTGGTGTGCGGAGCATTGAGTGCCAAACGCCGCATTGCGCTCCGCTGGTCATTGTGAGCTTTTAATTCGTCATGGATGCTAGCTGCTTCATGCGGACTGCAGAGTACCAGACTCCGCGGGTGCGGATGCTGGATGCGGGGCCAGGTTGGTTACTACCCAGTTCGTTCTTACGGACGCTGAGTTCTGCTGTATTCTGTGTGCCGGACCTGGAGGAGTATGCTCCCGTCCGGCCGGGAAGGTAATGAGCGCCCGGTGACTGAGTTCGTTCTGCCGGAGCCTTGTGTGCTGTGAGCTGAGCCCAGTGGATGCTCCGTCCGGCCGGGAAAGTAATGAGCGCTCGGTGACGGCTGATGGTGGCCCGTCACGCACCGAGACGCCCTGACCTTGACGTCGGACGGGTCCTCCTTGGCGTGACGCCGTAATGCGACCGGACGGCTCACCGGCTCTGCCCAGCGCTTCCCGGCTCTGCCCGGCGCTCCCCTCTCTCCCCTCCGCGCGCGTCTCTGCCCTCTCTGCTCTTATCGCGGCATCTGCTGACCACTTGTGACAGAGGGGCACGACACTTGGTCACCCAAACACTGTCTCTGGTGTCCAATGGCCGCTATTTTCTTGGTCGTCTGCTCTTGAAGTGATGCATTCATAGCTCCTCAGATTCCATGGATTTGTTAGTGTTCATAAGCGTATATTGTTTTGCTGAATGTAGGCATTGTTCTGCGGTCTTTTTACCACATTGTCAAAAATGAATGTGGCTGTTATGCGTAGGGGAGAGTGGGGTAAGATGCCCAGGGTGGGAAAGACGCCCCACCCCCTCTAGCGGTGAAACAAAGAATCGAACCTGGAAATTAATGTTCTTAGCGTAAAGCGGAAGCCTGCCTTGTTAACTGCTCAAAAATTTGCGAAGCTCAGTTGAGCAACGGCTGGCTGGTGATTGCATGTTTTTTATTTGCTGCTTAAAAAAAATATTCTGGTGTCAAAACATTGTAAATATCAAAGACGGTAGATAATTTTTGTGTCCCTTGCTATAGTCGTGATACATTAACATACGTGTACCGTGTCCCAAACAGTTTGTTTCAGGGTGTAGTTTTATGGCTAACAAATTGTACTGATTTAATGTTACTTCGGCACCTTGGGGTAAGATGCCCCCTGTCCTGATGGGGAAAGACGCCCCCCTAAATCCGTAGGCTGTCCTTCAAGCAGCCCGTCAAATCATTTATTACATACGTGTGATGAGAGACAAAAGCCGATCTGGGACTATTGAGAGTCCAGTACGGTCGGGTGCTCCCCATGCCAGTCTCTCGGCCCACACAGCGACTTTTTGGACGGCATCTGACTCTGAGAGCCCTCACGACGGCCTCTGTGGGCCCCATTATATTGGCTCCAGGGCCCCTGACGACATCCTTTGAGGGCTCCTACGTTGGCTCCACGGGCCGCGCCGGCATCTGAGGTCCCCACGATGGGCTCGAGGGCCCTCAAGCATCATGAAGACCTATAAGGGCCACACAGTGGTCTCCGAACGCCACCACGGAGGCTTGTTTGGCAGCGCTGGACTATGATGGCCCTAACGATGACCTCTGAAGCCCCTTACGACTACTTTTGAGGGCCCTTACGATGACGTTTGGTGTCTACTGCAGGCTCGAAGGGACTACTGACTCGTTCAGGCGATTCACGTGCCCATTTAGGTCGCTTACAGTGCAGGGGGGCATCTTCCCCAACGCCAGGGGGCGTCTTTCCCACCCTGTGGGGTAAGAAGCCCCCTTTCACTTCTTCAGGAAAATGCTTAATAGCAAAAAAAGTTATCATATTTCAGGCACGAAAGTGTGATATTTTTGGAGAAAAATGATGTCGGCTTCCGTTGAAACTCCAAGTTTTTGCTTTCTGATCGTCATTTTCGAATAATATATGACATAGCAAAACCCTGGGCATCTTTCCCCACTCTCCCCTATGTAACTCTCTTATCGATATCATACAGGAAAGTATATCTCATGCCAGTGACTGGAATGTATTATTTTGAGCTCGGAAACTCGGAAATTTCACACGGATATCTCAACTGCTCGTAGGTAATGCCGTTCATATCTTGATTGAAATATCATTTTCCGCAAGCCACTGGTCTCTTTTCCTTCATGTCTGGCGATCCGCCAGTAACGCCGTGTCTGGGCCCGTTCCGGACGGGCGCGGCTGTATGGAAGGCTTGTTAGCGTCTGCCGCTGTCTGAGGGAGTGGGTGGTCCCGTGGTGTCGCGTGCCGATACGTCATGGCCCCGTTATCAGATGGCAGCCCACCGCTCGGATAGACTGCGGCTCTGATAGACTCTGACGCTGAGCGCGCCGCCGCCCGCTGGTTCCGACTCGCCGTATCGCCGCGCTCATCGATGTCGGCGTTACGCGTCATCGCGCATTGATTCAGCGGACCTGCGCCTGGCTGATAACAAATAACCTGGTGGAAGTGATGAAATGGAGGCCTAGAATTACACCTAATTGCCGCCCGCGGCGGCGTTTGCGTCTTTAAATTGGCCGTGAGCTGTGCGATGCTCACGCATGACTGATCGCTGAGTTGTGGTTCAGTGGCTATTTTAGTGATTATCGTGTATCGGACGTTGTATGCCTGAGTTGGATGGGTAATATCCACCTGTTGGGTCACTGACACCGTGGCTATGGCTCGTCGACACGCGTTCAATGTCAGTCACCGTCAGTGTTGAAGCGTGTCCCCCGGACCAGGGTTCCTGCCCGGCTAACTCCCTCGTCCCTGCTGTTTCAGGTCGGCGTCTGATGGCTCACTCGGCTCCTGTGCGACTTCAGTGACCTCCTGCCGCCATGGAGGGTGCTGTGATGCCCCCTCCGGCGCCGGTGCCGGCCGCCGGGCGGCTCCACACGACCCGGGAGAGGGCCTACGTCCAGACCCGCCTACAAAGCTACACCAACGGTGCTAGCGCTGCTCGCCCGCCCGCCTTCGGTCCGTCCAGTCTCCGCTCCAGCTACAACGAGCGCCTGTACCCGCGCCACCGCGAGCGGGTGCTAGCGCAGCACGGCGGTCCGCGCAGTCTCCGCGAGGGCTCCGGCGCGCCGCCGGCCGCTGTCTCCACGGTCGGCATGGGCCCGCTCTATCGGAGCAGCTCGTCGCTCGAGCTGGAAACGTCGCCTGGCGGCGGACTGCGGCGCGAGTTTGGCTCTCACGGTTCCATTGACGTGATGGCCGGCGGCGGCGACGCGCCGGGCCTGGGCGCGCCGCGAGCCGGCTCCGCCACCGGCTCAGACGCCAGCCCGCGGCTCAAGTCGCGTCTGCAGCGGCTCTGGGATCGAGACCGGCGCGGCAGCCGAAAGACGGCCGAGCCGTCGCTATTCAGGAAGCTGCGCGGCGGCGGCGCGCGCGCTGAGCCGGAGACCAGTCGCTCGTCGGACTCTTTGGACGGTGAGGCGCGGCTGGAAGAACGGCGAAGACGGCGCGCGCTGGTCCACTATGACTGCCAGAGCCTGCAGGCCAGCCTGTCGGCGGCACAGCAGCAGCGCTCACAGCTGGCCAAAAGGAGGAACACGGCCACTGGCGCCAGCGCGGCGGCCGCTGCCGGCGAGGCTGCCGCCGCCGCCGCCGCCGAGTCGAGCGCCGATGACCTGGAGACGGGCGATGGACGCAGCAACGACCTGGTGCTCAGGTGAGGACGGGGGCTTGTTGCGGATGCGGGACGAATACAGTCGACAGTCACTGGCAGGAGGAATGAATGCAGTGGTAAATTTGAAGTTGAGCTTCGATTTATATTTTTTTTTGTCTTTATGCTTACGCTATGTCATTTTTCTTAAGATGCATCTTCTTCGCCTGATGAGGAACACGAATTTAATCAACTTTGCGAAAACGTGCATTTGTTTTGCTCTCTATGCTGCTTCAATATGCCGCCACAATTCCGCGATAATCTACATCAGTTGCAACATACCTACGAGTAAGAAATACCTGTAAACCGCAGCTCAGAGACGATGATTCATCTCCGTCTACTTTGTGGCTGCAGGCTTATCCCGTAGAGCCCACGCCTACAGAGCTCGCTCTGCACGTTTTTGCACCTGTAATCGTGGCTCGGTGTGACTTGTATGGCATTCTCGCGCAGTGGCGCCGCCATTTTTGGCGTCTGCAGCGTTTTATCAGAGCAGTAATTACCCCAAGAACGGCAGGTGCTGCCTTGAGGGTGTGGCGCGGGTACATAGTAGCACCGCAGAACAAAGGCTAATATCTTGATGGGGCTGGAAGGCTTAGCTTCTGGAAAATTGTTATAATGCCGACATCACACCATTTATTCGGCGGAAATGTTGGATTTACCTCGCGCTGTTTTGTTCTAGATATGCTAAGCTACCATTGTGTATGTGTGTGCTTACACCTTAGCCGTCCCATTTCACGGGGTGGCGTTTGTCTTTGCTCCTCGACCGTGACTGACCCGTGAACCCCCCCTGCCCACAGTTGTCCGTTTTTCCGTAATGAGACCGGCGGCGAGCTAGACCGCGCGGTGAACGTGGGCGGCAGCTGGGCGGGGGCGGGGGCGGCGCGGACCCGCCGGCCGCCCGCCGGCGCCGAGCCCCTGCTCCACCGTCCGGCGGCCGCCTGTGGGCTCTCGGTGCTCGAGAAGCCGCGCGGTATGAGCCACTGGCCAGCGCACGTCTGTCCATTTCGCCGGGCCGCTGCCAGTCCCGAGAGCTGCTCACTCGGCAGCTACTACTACAAAGACTTCTTCTACGGCAAAGGTGGGTGAAAGATGCAGGCGGGATGGGTGGTGTGATGGCGGATGACGCCGTGTCTTCGATTCCCTGCCAATAGCCCCACCGTGCGTGAGCCGCTCACAGTGCGTGCTCACGTCTGTTTGGTCCATTGTTTCCTCACTGTCTCACCGTCTCGCCTCCTTGCGTGCGCCGCTGCTGCGTGCGGCGTGCTCTGAAGGCGTTCGTGAGAACCGTGCACCCCTGCACTGGGGCGTACCGTGCACCCAGGGTGCTGTTATCCCCCTCCCGCCGGATATGGGGCGTGCGCGCAGACACCGGGAGAGAATGAGATGCTGGAGGCGATCGAGGAAAGTTCCGCTAGTGACTGGTCTGACGTGGTCCGAGTCGGCTTTCCCCGAGGGTGTACGGGAGTTGTGACTCAAACTGCAGCAACAGCCAACAGCTATGACAGTCGGAGGGAGCCCGGAGGGCACACACCGCTGCAGATAAGGATAATTCTAGTTGCAGATATTCCAGATGGTGCAAAGTGCCAATGTGCCCTGTCAGTCAGTCCGTGACTCGTGATTGCCCGCCGGTGTAACGAGCGGCCTGAAAGCTGGCCAGCTGGTAGCCGGTGGTGGCAGTCAGACGGACGATTTATGACGGCTGATTGCAGGCGATGCACGTCGCCCTGTTTTCCTGGGCGTTTTTCTGGTTCGTGCGAACTCTCCCATAGACGGTTTCCGGCGGGCGGCAGTGAAAGGGACGCCGGTGGTGGTGCAACAGTCGACTGCCTTCCGGTCGATTGAATGGGGAATAATGCAGACAACCGCAGCTTTGTGGCTGGCGTTGAAGATGGGCACACAGCTATCGCTCGGTATTTTCCGTTGTTGTAATTGTTTTTGTTTGTTTCTCAGTTTCCCTGAGAAACTGCTTGCCTGGTTGAACTTTGGTGTATGAATGCGGATTTCGATTCACAACTTCAGTAGCAATCAAGGAAGTGATGTGGTAAACAACGCTGAAGCTTATATGTAAGAATAATCAAGAACCAAAGCCTTCAACCCGCTTATGTAACAGTAATGATTGTGCAATTGGAGGTGAATGAATATGTCCATTTTCCATGTACGAGTAGCAGCAAGGATGACAATTTCATCCTTTGCGAACGGCGCCCGAGTCCAGTACAGCCACTAAATCCTCTCAGCAATCAGTCGATGAATGGTTCAGGGCCATCCGGTGCTGCTGTGATCGCTCGCCGGCTGCGTGAGAGACCGCCGCGCCGGTCAGCTCGTGATCTCGGTATTACCCCGTCCCCTCCCCTCCACGAGAGCAGACCACCGGGTTAAAAAGACCGGCTAGCTACCTGGCCGGCGCACCAGCCTGGAGCGCCGCGCGCAGCAGCAGCACAAAGCGGATCGTTTTTTGACCGGGTCGTGCCGGGTGTGTGAGAACCTCGGCGACTGCACGACGGCTGAGAGGCCTGCCATCCGCCGCCGGGACGGGAGGGGGCGTTTTTGCGCCCATCGGCCCGCCGCCGGCCGTCATCAGGCGAGCGTCATCAGCGCCGTCATCGAGGCGGCTGTGGGCCGGCATCTGTCATCGTGCCGCGGGTGGTGCTGCGTGGAGGGATGTGCGCCTGGGGACACCTCACCAGCGTGGCCGCCGGAGACAGGGGAGGGCAGGGCTGCGACGACAGGGGCGGTCTCTGAACAGAGGTCAGGAGTGATTACCATCTCATTATCCAACCAGAACGACAGCTGGAGTGTTGACCTGCGGAGAAAAAGCGTCGGCCTTCGCTGCTGTATGCTCAGTCGCCGGCTGGTGTGTGTGCCTTGTCAGTCTGTCAGTCAGCCGTCCACCCAGCCCCCTAGACAGACAGACAGTGAGTCCGACTGGCACACACAGGTCGGGGTGCCGCGGGCCGTGCGTCAGTTCCACGCCCGCCGGCGTCTGCGAGAGTCGTGTAGGGGCGATGTGTCGGCGGGCGAGGGTCTGTAATGGTTCGTTTTTGGGGAGGGAACAGGCAGGACTACTGCACACTGCACAGTGCACACGGAACCATCGGTGACTGTCCGTCACTACAGACATCACTTGACGGGTGCATGCAACTAACGGGGATCGAGAGTCGTTCGCTGCCTCGCTCAAAGCGAGCCGCGAGCAGACGGGCCTTCGCACCTGTCTCTGGGGCTCTGAGCTGCCGCCGTTTGCCCGTCTGCTTCTTACATGTACCCGCCAACTACCCACCTCCGTCGCTTCCTCCCGCCTAACACTCGCCTCCTCTCGTCTGCCCCGCCTTCTCCTCCCGCTTCCCCACCCCTCCTCCCGCCTGTCTTTGGCAGCGCTCTCCAGGGACACGCGGCCGACGGAAAGGGTGAGGAAGTAGTGGGATGGGTAGGGGAGGATGGATAGAGGTCTGATGGACGGCCGAGAGCACGGCACCTGCTCTCGCCACTCTGCCGAGCACGTCCTGCCGCCGCCGCTGATGGTGATGGTGGTGGTGGTGGCGAGGAATTCAGGTTGTCTTATGGTGAAAATGATGACAGTGTTATGGCAACTTCCACACCAGTGGACGTCAGCGTGTTCCTTGTATTGGAGGAGCAACGAACCACGAACCATTTCGCACTATGCTCGTTTTCCTATTGATGCTTCGCTAAAAGCTCGTCCCTGTTCTTGGTCGTTCTTTTGTTGTTCACACAAGTATCTTTAGTATCCTAACAAATGGTATTGTTTTCGGGATTCCTCATCTTCTTTTTAGCCGCCTTCGCTCTTTGTGTGCCGTTTCCTGTCACTTACGGCGGCGCCAGGAAGTCGCATGTTCCCCGGCTCCCCACCGTCATTGACTCGGGAACACGTGGGAACTCCGGGGCCAGGGTCACCGCCAGTGGTGTGAGAGCATCATTACCGCTGACATTTCACGGACCCAGTCGGCTTTGAAGTGGCCAGAGCTCGTCGCTTCTCGGAAGCGCATCTTCACGACTTTCTGGCAAAACTTCACAGAGTTGCGCTTAGCTCCTCTGCTGGGAGCGGTTGTCTCCGTTCGCTGGATACCTACATGCAGTCCGGTCTGTCAGCTGTTCCCCATACCTCTCTCCTGGCTGCCAGCCCCACCACGTGCTCAGCTATATTTCGGTCGCGGCCAGCCGGTACCGCGGTGCGGGCGGCTGAATGCGGGCGCCATGCCGCATTCCTGATCCTCGTGCCCGCCTGCCGTCTCCCGCGCACCCAGCCGGCGCGCCTTTTTCACCCGCGCCCGCCCGGCTGTCGACAGGAGCGCGCGCCCCAGGAACGGCGCGAGATAGACGCGCGCGCGCCGTGGGGGACGTTTTTGTCCGTCGGTGAGTGTCGCACTCGCGCTCTCCTGCAGGGTCGCTGCTGCCGACTCTTCCAGCTCTGCCTCTTCCTCGGCTTATTTACCTACCGGTTGGCTGCGGCTGCTCCTGCCTTTGTATTTATGCGTCTGCGGTCGCATTAGAGGCGTTGGCGGCGGCTGTGGGCCCCCATGATTGCCCTCCGGTCCCAGTGTGTCTGTATTTCGGCTGATCACCAGCTGTTGAGGCGGTGGCACGTGCCGTGTGCGCAGCGCCACCGTTCGCCGGCCATGTCGGACTGTGCCAAACGTGACGGCCCATCGGGGCCCCGGATCAGCGCTGGGGCTCGGCACCACACCGCCGGCCTTTGTGTGACGGCACTGCCAGCCATCGACCGGGTATAATGCTAGATCGTAATGCTAGGCGGGGCTGCCGGTCCCCCTCTCGCTGCCAGTCACCCGGTCCATCACCCCGTCCGTCACCCCCCCCCCCCCCAGTGTGCCACTTCCGGGGTGTGCCCCCGGGTGCCAAGCCACGCCCAGTTATTCTGCGGTAGCAATGGAGTCGATGAGTTGGAGCGTTGGCAGCGCGCAGCACACACGCTGCAAATTGGGATGCAGTGACTACCTTACGCGGTGGATCGTTGTGCCGCGCTGGGCTCAGCCGGGTGAACTTTTCACTACAGTGAGCTCATTCATTACGAGCCACCCCACATCCGAGGACAATGTGACACACGCTGTTGCGCTCCTTTTATAACATCTGACCCGGCATCGTGACGCCGGTTTTAATGTGTGAGAGCCCGTTTCATTTCGAGGACACGGCTAAGTCGGTCGTTGGCGACGTTTCTATGTTAATCGCGCCGCCTTCCGTGGCGCATTAGCTGCTCTGAGCGGCGCCAACCCGTTCTTTGTGGCCGTTTCCGGCGGCTGTGGCGGGCCGCTTCCTGCGCCGCCGAGGAAGGACGCGGTGGGCGCGCGCGCAGGACGTCCGTTGGTGACCCCGGGGTCAGCCCGCGGCGCTTTGGACGACCGCCGGCAAACGAGCTGCCTCCTGTGCCGGCGGGCGCCGCTGCGGCCGGCTGACCTGACCTCGGTGACCTGCGCTGCGCCGGCCGGCCGCCGACCCAGATTGTCGACCTGCCCCGTGTCGTGATTTATCCTGACGCCACTTCCCCGTCGGCGGGCTGGCTTCATTAGTCGGTCGTAACCGCCAGCCGTGGGTCGGCCATAACCGGTGACCTGGCCCGACCCCCGGGCCGGCCGCCACGCCGCTCCGCCGTTCCGCCGAGCTGTTGACAACATGTGCCGCCGGCCCCGCGGCTGTCGTCGACACACTCGGCCTCACCCGGCAGCGAGATCACAGGGACCGCCGCCGCTCGGAGCGGGTTAGACGGCGCGCAGGAATTCCTCGGGATAATCGTCTGAACGAGTCCCAGGGCGGCGGGCGCTCTGACTCGCTCAATCCCCGCGCCGGCCTGCGGGACAGAGTCCGTCGCTCGCTGTCCGACGGGCGAACAGATTCGAATTCAGAGGCGGAGCTGTGGGTTGTGAATTCATCCCACTGGGTTCTGGACCGCTCCGAGTTCCGACCCTCCGCTCTCAGCTCCGCCAGTCATTTGTCGTCGGCATGGAGATGAACTCTGATCTGAATAACGGCCTTCAGCGAGGGCCGGGCGACCCAGATCGACTAGGACCCGGCGGCCAGAACCACTCGGCCAGGGCTCGGTGGGTTCGGTTTCCT